TGTCCTTCTATGGCCAGTCGTTTCAATTGTCCGATAGGACTAAGCACGGAGTGGGCGCACCCATCAAAGGGGCCGGACATTCGGACGGTGATTATGGGCACGTGTGTGGACTCGTCAAAAATGACGGGTGGACTAAGGAGCTGTCTGACCATGGTCATGATCCCATTGTTTATAAGGGTGATGAATGGATGAGCTATGATGACCCCTATGCCATGTATAAGTAAGTTATCTTATTAGTTGCACATTAAACTAGCCTAGGTTACCATATAAATAACAGCTTAGTTACTAGTCTAATTAGATATTTTAAAAACATATTTACGCTAGTTAATTATGAGATTATTTTAGTTATTAATAATTTAAATTATATTGTATTTAATTTTAATATTTATTAATAAAATTATTGGGTTTTAATTTCAATTAAAATTTATTTATTAGTAAAAGCAAGTGGGTTAAGGACAATGGCTATGGTGGTATCATAATCTGGGAGATTACCCTGGATGATTACCAGAAACAGTGCTGTTCAGTGAATAACCCTTTGCTACGGGCCCTCAATTATGGACTGTATGGCACGGGTCAGTCACCGGACACTTATGGTTGTGAACATAAATAAATAAATAAATTGATATTATTATTTGAAATAAACTTGATGAAATAGTATTTTAATAAGTGTCTGAAATTAATAATTAAACTTTAGATTTATTTTTAAGTAATATTATTTCAAAACTTGCAGAAGTATAAAATATACGGTCAGTCTCAAAATAGAGTAACTCGATTATTTTAAGAAAAATATACTAAGATAATTTTTTATATCTTTTATATTTAAACCAGAAACATGGAATTTTGTGATATTTCATAATAATAAATCAAACAGTATGTCTGACTTGGAAAATGATAGCAACAAATCACAATTATAATGATATACTGATGAAATGTGATTCATTTAATGACATTTTAAACAAAAACAAAATTTCTAACTGTTGTCATCTCTGCACAGGGTTGTTTTTTATTCTTAAAAACAAAACTCTTGCCAACGAAAAACGAGTTGAGATAATTTAAAAATCTCTTCACTGTTTTGTAGATATTTTAAAAGCAAACAATATTTGTTATATCAATAATTATATAAACACTATATTTTTAACGGAAAATGGATCTCAAAAAATATAAACACGATTTTAATAGTGACGCCAAAGAAGACCCAAATGTTTTTTAAGTGATTTTTATAGCTCTAATCATTTACTACAAGTTAGCGAAGAGAAACTTTTGGGTCTCTCTTGGCGTCACATATTAATTGTTAAAAAACT